TTACACACAGACTTTTACACACATAGACGCGTTTACACACAGACACTTTTACGCAGAAAAGCTTTTACACACAGACGCTTTTACACACTAACACTTTTACACACAGACACCTTTACACACAGACGCTTTTACACACAGACACTTTTACACACAGACGCTTTTACACACAGACGCTTTTACACACAAAATCTTTTACACACAGACGCTTTTACACACTAACACTTTTACACACAGACGCTTTTACACACAGACGCTTTTACACACAGTTACACACAAAAGCTTTTACACACAAAAGCTTTTACACACAAAAGCTTTTACACACTAACACTTTCACACACAGACGCTTTTACACACAGTTACACACAAAAGCTTTTACACACAGACGCTTTTACACACTAACACTTTTACACACAGACGCTTTTACAGACAGACGCTTTTACACACAGACTTTTACACACATAGACGCGTTTACACACAGACACTTTTACGCAGAAAAGCTTTTACACACAGACGCTTTTACACACTAACACTTTTACACACAGACGCTTTTACACACAGACACGTAAAATCGCAATTTTTCCTCAGTTTTTGACGATCGACCCTCATTTCGTGCCAAAGGGTTGCTCGGGGCCAAGTAAAATCGCAATTTTTCCTAAGTTTTTGACGATCGACCCTCATTTCGTGCGAAAGGGTTGCTCGGGGACAAGTAAACTCGCAATTTTACCTTAGTTTTTGCCGATCGACCCTCATTTCGTGCGAAAAGGTTGCTCCGGCACAAGTAAACTGGCAATTTTACCTCAGTTTTCGCCGATCGACCCTCATTTCGTGCGAAAGGGTTCACGTTTCGTGACTCCCCGCCGGCACCACCCTCGGCCTAAAGAGAGAAAGATAAAGAAGGCGAGAGAGAGAGAAAAGGGAGAGAGAAAGGAGAGAGAGAAAGGAGAGAGGAAAGAGGAGAGAGAGAGAGAGAGAGAAAGAGAAGGTGTGAGTATGTGAAGATAGAGATGTGAAGATGAGCAGATGTGAAGATGAGAAGATGTGAAGATAAGAAGATGTGAAGATGAGCAGATGTGAAGATGAGCAGATGTGAAGATGAGCAGATGTGAAGATGAGAAGAAGTGAAGATGAGATACAGACCCCCACTATTGGAAGAACCCTGCGCTCAGACGCTCTCGGGAAAAATCAAGGTCCGTGCTAAGTAGAAACTTTAGATACGTGATGTTGATGAGATCCAACTGGTTTTCCCCCTGGTCCAATGATTCCCATTACCATTTGAAGTTCAGCATGACAAAAACGGGCTGCACTAGAGTTAGTAGGACTCAGAATCTGCAAATAATATCACACACGAGTAAAAGTCAACTCATATATTGTTTCTTATTTAATGCCTTCAAGCTACAATATACAGCACATATATAATATAGCCAGTATATGAATATATATATATATATATGTGTGTGTTTATATATATATATGTATTACATAATACAAATATATATATATATATGTATTACATAATACATATATATATTACATAATACATATATATATATATTGCATAATATATCTTTTACAATATATATATATATATTTATTTAATAATATAAATTTATATATATATAATAATACACACACATATATATATATATATATACATAAATTACATCATACATATACATATATACATACATACATTACATTACATTACATTACATTACATTACATTACATTACATTACATTACATACATACATACATGCATGCATGCATGCATCCTTACATACATACATACATTACATTACATTACATTACATTACGTTACATTACATCACATTACATACATACATACATACATTATACATACATATATATATAAATACATAAATCACATCTTATATATATAAATTACATCATATATATATATATTACATAATAAATAAATATGTAAATATATCATAATATATATATATTACATAATATATATATATATATTACATAATATATTTATATACATACCAAACATAAATAAATATATATATATATATATATTTATTACATATATATATTACATATCTATATATATATTACATATATATATATATTACATATATATATATATATTACATATATATATATGATTGTATATATATATATTGTTAATATTCCAACCACTTATGAACCACATGTCCATGAGTGATGTCTCTTGTTCCATCTGATGCCACATCAAGCATGGCAACTCGCCGCGCCGCTGTGCCGCTCATCCAGACGGGAGGGCGGGAGGACATCACAGGGTGATCAGGAAGGGAAACGGGGTTTCTCAGGTGTGCACAGTTGATAGGAAAGTCAGGGAACATTCCAACCAATTTTGGGGTAACATTATTCAGTGGATTCACATTGGTAGCGGAGCGCTAAGCTGCCGCAGTAAGCTCCATATCTAGAGGGGTCACTGACAGGGTCAGGAAATCTAGAAATTTTGGGTCCTACAAGCATAGGACTGCACTGTAGGGCCATTGAACTGAGCCATGTCGGAGACTGCGGAAGCAGCAGATCCATCCGCAACTCTGACGTTGCCACCAACGTCACTCCCATGGGGACAGATACCTCGGTTCGATCCGAGCACCACAGACTTGAGGGTCTACAGCACTCAATCTGGCCTGAGGAACATCGAGAGCACCTTGCTCCGAGGGCTGCGCTGATGATCGAAGGGGCCGCCTTTCAGAAGATCACTAGACTGGACGCAACAAAGTTGAGACAGAAGGACGGAGTGAAACACCTCATAGAAGCTCTTGGAGGACAATGGGGAAGAACGGACGTGGAAGATCGATACGATCTGTTTGAAAGAGCCTTGTACATGGTTAGCCAGAAACAGGACGAGACCAATGACAGCTACTTGGCTAGGCACGACATTGCCTTCGAGGACCTCATCTCGAAAGGAGTGTCACTCCAGGACGTACGGGCTTACGTCTTGGTCCGTCAGTCAACGTTGAGTCCGGAGGACCGCAAGAAGATCATCATGGACAATGGAGGCCAGTTGACATACGATCTGGCTCGACGAAGTATGAGATTGTTGGGTTCCAGGTTCTTTCAGGACCTCCAGGGCAGCCGAAACCCACAGGTGAAAAAGACCTATGAGGCCTACACCATGGAAGAGGAGGAATCAATCCATCATACAGCAATTGATGGAGAGCAGGGAGATTTCGATGAAGAACAGACCTTTCAGGTCTTGGCCGATCAGGGTGACGAGGACGCGACGTTTGTCCTGGACTTCGAGGACCAGATTGTGGAGACCATCCAAGAGAGTGCCAGCCTGGCATCCTGCTTTGTCTCCTATCAGGAGGCCAGAGCTCGAGTCAGAGAACGGGCAAGAGCACGTGGTTTCTGGCCAGTCAAAGGCAAGAACAAGAGCAAGGGATCGAAGAAAGGAAAGGGGCCATTCATGGGGAACCAGAGCATAGGATCCGCCGGGGCTCGGCGACGTTCATTAGCCGACAGGATCGCCAACAGCACCTGTAGGCTGTGTGGATTGCCGGGTCACTGGAAGAGGGAATGCCCTCAGAGACCTGAGGCACAGTCGAAGTCAGAGACGATCAACATGACCGTTGAGCCCTATGAGATGGAGGATGCGGCCGTTCAGGAGGTTGTTGACACCTTGCCCGAGACTGCGGAGAAGTACCAGGAGATTAGGAAGAAAACAGGACGGTCACCAGTGTTTGAAATTTTTGGTAATCAAAATGGGAACATGTGCCATGATTGCTTCGGATGTGAAGTAGTGAATCAGGTTGGTAACGGTGAGTTTGATCCCATGTTTTCTGAAAATCTTCACAACCGTCTCATGGCATGTTGTAGGAAGCATGGAATTGACGTGATGGCCAAGTGCAAGTCCGAGATCATGTCACCTCGGATGACACCCACTCATGAGACGGGCCTGAATCCGGTCATGTCTCATTCACTCACGAGTGATGACCCAGCCGCAGTTTTCCAAATTGAAGAGGATGTGCATGAAGCCATAATTGACACTGGAGCAAGTAGAGCAGTGATAGGTCATGAGAGGCTCAGTGGCCTAGTGAAGTCCTGTGGAGTTCATGGTCGTGTTTTCACATCACCTTCCAGTGTCACGTTTCGCTTCGGAAATTCAGGGATCCTCAAGAGCACTTTTGCTGTGTTTTTTCCCAGGAAAACGGGTGGTTGGATCAGAGTGGAAGTTGTGCCAGGTCGGACTCCCTTTCTACTATCAAACTCAGTGTTGAAAGCTCTTAGGGCAGTGATAGACACAGAGAATAGGAGCATGTGGTTCAAGGGTCACAACCAAAGCATTCCTCTGGGTACATGTCGGAAAAATCTCATGAGTGTTGATTTCTCACGAATCTTGAACTTGGAAAATCATGGTCATGAGGGTTCACGCATGCATGAAATACATGTCGCAAACATGGATGAACGAAGGGTAAATGCTGAGAGTGAATGTTGCGGATATCAGGGACCCCAAAACCCCAAAGTTGAGAAACCAAATACTGTGGATAACCCAGGAAACCCAATAAAGGATGTACATTGGGAAGAACCTCAAGGGAATGATAAATCAGTTGACAATCAAAATCCCAAAGTGATGTCCGAAGACGATGTACAGAAAGAAGGGGCTCCAGACACCACCGGTCATGTGAAAACACATGTGAACCATGAGATGGATGGAGCCAATTGCCCTCAAGCCCGTCATTTTTGTCGCAAAGAACCAATTGAGCAGAACAGCCATGACAAACAAGGGGTACCTCGACGACCCGTTGACAATCAGCGTGGACCCGGAACTCAGGGGCAACAGCCAGTACCAGGAGAACATCAAGGGGCCGATTCAACGACCACCCGGTGTAGAGACTCTGCGCCCATCGTGATCCCGTCTGGCAAACATGCCGGACAGAGCTTCGCGGAGGCACACTCAGACATGTGTTATGTGCATCAGGTCTGGAACCGGAAAGCCGTGTCTCCGTGACTTCGAAGTTTCCAGATGTACTGCAGGATGCGACAACATGCAGCCCCAACCTCCGAGGAGATCTTCGACAAGGTCGAGAAAGAGCCACAGAAGACAGCTGCAGCAATGGCAGCACCCAAGGGGATGATCAAGATCAACGAATCGAAGATGAGCCCACCAGCACAGAACAGCGAGTGGACGAAGATCGAATCGAGCGCTGCGGTCAGCAGCGAGACCAACCGGAAGCCGAAGAGAGGCAGTGCAACGGGATCAACAACAGGGATGGAGACCGAGATCAACCATCAACGTGTCCAGGAGCTCAAGACACAGATCGCAATCCTGGAAAGGCAACTGGCCATCGAAACACAGGTGCCAGAGACCGAACCCGAGAAGAAGCCCAGTTATCGAGCAAACTGCCCAGTATATCATGAATGACCAACCTCCGACATTGATGACCAGTGTCCAGGAACAGTCGATCCATGATGCCATCAATCAAAAGATTTCAGAGGTTACAGGCGGATTGTCTCGCCTCGACTGTCATGCTGATGGTTTAAAAGGGAAAGACTGGACAATGGTCAATGAATCCGTACGGGAATCCCAGCAAAGTCGGCCTCTGGACCTCCTAGAAGTTTACTGTGGACCCAATTCCCAAATTACTCAACAGGTGTTAAGACTTGGGGGAGTGGCAAAGAGATTCACCATTAATGATGGGGACTTGGGAACAACGGAGGGTGTCCAGAAACTTTGGCTGTGGATCCAATTGTATGAACCTCGACATATTTGGTTGGCACCAGAGTGCAAGCTATACGGGAAGTTCTCTAACCTTAATATGTCCCGAAGTCTTCAGGATCATGACAGGGTGGTTCAACGTAGAAGGGATAATCGTGGTCATCTAACCCTTTGCAATGAGATCTACCGTCATCAAGTATCCCTGAAAAGGCATGTGCACCTGGAACAACCAAGTGAATCATGTATGACTAGCCAACCGGAATTGCAAGAACTGGTGTCGGGAACATTCCGTTCATGTTTTGACATGTGTCGACTTGGAAAACTTCGACTCCCTCATCAACAAAAATACCTTCGAAAGGGAACCAAGGTCCATACTTCAAGTGGTTATGTTCATTACCATTTGCATGACAAACGGTGTTTGGATGACCATGAGCATGAGACCATACAAGGAAGTGTGAAAACTAGGGAGGGTCGCCAAAATGTATCAGCATATGCTGCCGCATACACACCTGTGTTTGGAGCATACATGGCACGTGTCATACTGGAGGAATGTGAACTGAAAGAAGACCCTGTTGATATTTTTGCTGTCAGCAGGGAAGCCGACAAACCCGAAATGGCACCATCCGAAGAGCCGTGTCCAAAGAGACAACGGCATGGAATTAAAGGGCCACCGCGACCTGCAGACTTGGAATATGATGCCCAGGGCTACGGAAAAAGCCCCACGTGGGGCCAAGTTGTACGTAGGTGCAACAGTGTTGTTCCACGGGTAGGTAGTCACCCAATTCGACCTGGGGATCCTCTGTTTCAGCTGTTTCAACTGATGGTACCTGAATTGGAACTCAAGTTGATCATGTTGTGCCGAGGCACAGAACGATTTAGAATTCCTGGTAGCCTTGCCCAAGGGGAAGAAATGCCATGGAGGCGTACCATTCTGGTTGATCGTGGGACTGGGGAAATCATTGATAAGGGCCCCCCCGAAAACTGGAAGGCATTGCCAAAACTTCAACAAACCCGAAGGGCAGGGTCAGCACGTGTCTCAATCACTTGCTTTGGAGTCTTGAGGTCATCAGCTTCAGGAATACAACGTTGGGAACCCTCAAACCCCGAATCCGTAGGTGGTGAGGAGTCAGTGGGTAGTGGGGATCCTCGTCAATCGTTTGGGGGTGAGCATGCCTCAGGGGTACAGGGTTCTCAAATGGAATCTTCGGAAGATCAACAAGGGGCTGAGATTCAGGGTTGGCCCCCAAGCGTTGTCCCTCAAAGTGGTCCCCATTTTGAAGCACTTGATAATGACCAAAAAGCTGATCTCCGAAGGTTGCATGCAAATCTGGGGCACCCATCTCCTGACAAGCTGAGTAGACTTCTTCAAGACCAGGGCGCCAGTGATGAAGTAATTAAGGCAGCCAGAGATTTCCAGTGTGACTCTTGTATAGAGAATCAAACCAAACCAAAACTACCGAGTCCTGCCACAATCCATTCTCCAAAAGATTTCAATGACTGTGTTGGGGGAGATGGTGCCTACTGGGTAAATGGACGGGGTCGTCGTTTTCATTTCATGCATTTCATAGATGAGGCAACACTGTTCCACTTAGGGGCACCAAGTGGTAGAGCGGTAGATGACCAAATCGAAACCTTTGAAAACATCTGGCTGCACTGGGCTGGACCATGTAAAGAATTGTATCTTGATCCAGCACTAAGATGAGCGCTTTAAGTTAGGTTAGGTTATAAGAGGTTAGGCATAGGTTATAACCTGTTATAACCTGTTATAACCTAGGTTTAAATTGTTATATCCTAGGCTAAGTTTGGTTAACGTATGATAACCTACAAATACCTTCTAAGCCAGGGACCTTCTTTTTTTAGGGTATTCAAAAATCACCGGGTTATTATAAAAAAAACCAGGTTTCTTGAAAACAGGATCTCACACAATGATGAAGTAGATAACAAAATCTGGCACATCCCTAACATGCATCTCATCGGACCTTTTCTCTTTTCCTCCAGGATCACCTAAGCAGTCCAGCTTCCCTCCATTCAATGAGAGCCGCTGCTAAATATCGAGACAAAGTGCGGGTCATTACAGTTCTGATCGAAACGCGTCTGGAAAGTCTAGAGACTCTTCCCACCAAGTCCTCATCTTGTTGGCATCCACAAGTCATTACGTTGAATGCCATGTTGTGCTCACGGGCAGACCATTCAATCTCCAAAAGTAGATGGTGCATGTAATGTAGCTTGGGATACAGCGGATACAAAAGTGGCATCCCCGCATCGTAAGCAGACCTTGCAAGTCTCGCATACGAGTCCAAAAAAACAAGGCCACAGTCAGCCACATAGAAACTTTCTTCACGCGTGAGAAATGATGTTGAGCCATAAAGCATCGTAAACATTTGATTCAGCTTCTCAACGCCGCGCTTCGCAAGCACCAAACGACCAGCCGCATCAGGCGCCAAAGTATCAATCAAGGAAGGTATCCATTTGAAAAAATTCGTTGTAAGTGCCCCTTTGTGCCAGGCTCCCATGGCTCCTGCCCGGTCATTGTAACTGACCAGAGTTGGCGAAATTTTTGACACATGTCTTTGTTTTTTTTCACGACGGCACCATGTATGGTAATGACAGGTGAGCCACTTCCATTTCTCTTCCAGGTTGCTACATGGTACACATTCCAGTGCTAGTTGGACAGTTGAAGCTATGTACGATCGTCCAAATCCAAGGTGAACCGTATGCCATAGATCTATCTGAAAGAAAGATGCTAAGTCATTGGTATCGTGAGGCAGGTGTTTCAGCAAGACTGGTGTTTTATCCCAGGGAAGCTTCACATTTTGAGTACGTATCCATGCTGGTGACCTCGTAGCGATCTCTTCTGCAGGAAAGCCGTCAGTTCCTGCCAAACACAAATGGCAAATACCACTTGGTTTTTTTCTCTTTGCTGGATCCTTTGCAGTTCGCTTTGTGGCAGTGTTGAAGGTACGGTTCAACCCTCCAGCTTTTGCTAGATAAGGTAGGTCACCCTTCAGGCCGATGATTGCTACCCAAAACCGCTCTCCAGTATAAGGGTTCACCACTCCATGATCATAAAGTTCCCGAAGTTCTTTTGCCAAAACCTCCATAGCATCATGAAAAACTGCATTGTTGCTTTCGTACAACGACTTGGGAATAACAAAAGATACCAGTCTGGAACAAAAGGTGTGGCCTGCGTAGTTCACCAGAGGCGTTGGCAAACCATCCGCAGAGAGTTTTTGTCTTTTGGGGCTGAACCCGTATCCCAAGGCAGATTGGATAGAGGTCACCATTAAGCCAGACTTCTTGAGAGTTCGACCCTCGTCACCGTGTAGGTAGCAAGCAACTGTGCGACTATAGTCCACCCCAGGTTTCGAAAACAACTCAAAGTGTGGATAAAGCTTTTGATAATTCGACCAAAATGTTTTCCACAGCGGCCCTGCCAAATGCATTTCATCCGCCCTGACTCCAGCTAGATGATGCCAAACACCCTGACGCAGGATAAACTGAAACCAATCCTTTGGCGATATCCATGGAACTGTTTGGCCCTGGACCGTCATATCACTGACAGGGACATCCAATGCACTCCCTTGCTTGGAAATGACTTGGTGCACACCCCTTTCAGAATGATCCAAAGGAATTTGGGACCAACTTAGAATCCCGGATTGTCTTGCCCTCCCTTCACCGATCTCTTCAGTGACGGCCCGGGCAGTGCGAATCTGTGAAGTACAACTGGCCTCAGAGAAACAGGAAGTATATAAAAATCAACAGTTTCTGTGTAGGAGTGCGTACTTGGGATCAACCTTGCACACCCGGTGATTTTTGGATACTCAAAAAATATATTTGGAGAAACCTTGTAAGGAATGAATGTACATGTCTTAAGATAAGAAGGCACGCAAAAAAAAAACATGCAGGGATGCACACATGCAAAGGCAGCTGTGCATTTTTGTTTCCCGGAATTTCTTGATGGCACGAATTGTTCTGTACAAGTTCCAAGTGCAGCAATTGCAGCCTAGAAGGTTGATGCATATATACTGGAAGGTAAAACCAACAAGTACTTGTGCACGATGTGTGCACGATGTGTGCGTGCATACCGTGGATGAGACATTTTTTCGAGGGCTTCCAGCGATGAAGTATATATTCATAATTTCTTTTGCAAGGAAATATTAAAAAACAAACTTAATTTGTTGGAAAGGTTCCCTTGTTGCAACCATGGCATGCCACACAGCACATCCATCTATAGTTTTCGAATTGGAGGTGGAGTCTGAAAAGATCGATAAACTAAATATGTAAAGAAAGGGCCATCCCCCGAGCTCACGGTATCGCCACCAGTTCTCTCGTTCTTGCAGCCCCGGATGCCTTAGCAAGATCAAGTGTTTCTACATTGGGTTGCACAGCAAGATCCTTTTATTAACAACTGTGTTGCACTATAGCCCCCTTCTGATAGGATCCTCTTAATATGATTAACAAGTATGGTCAGGGGAATATTGGAAATTAAACATCAAGATTGGGTATAAGTATATGGGTATAAGTTTCCAACCTACTTCCGTTACCTCCCACAAAATAGATATCACAAATGATAAGCAGAACATTTTTGGGAATACCATGGCCCATCATGGCCCATCCCCTGGACCAGAGCCATGGCACTGCCAAACTCACGGATGAGCGCTGCTTCGAGAAATGCTGGGGCATGCGGATTTGCAGCTGCAAATAAGATTGTCATGTGCTGGAATTTGTCCACACAATCCTTGTATCCAAATAGTTTGCTATGCCATCGAAAACATGGAGAGTGGGTGAAACCAAATTTAAATGTCATTGGAGACAATTTGGAATGATGTTTCTGAAAGACTGTGCATGCATGTTCCAGCACACGTCCTGCTGTCACCCCACTAGGTGGTAATGAAAGGGATACGCACGGGTCTTCAGCAATTTCAGAAAAGACACTTGCACTGCGAGCTAATTCTCGCAAATCTTCGAAATCTAAATGTTCCTGCCCTTTCTTGGTTGGAACCTTGTGGAGATCCAGCTTTTTTTTTTTGAAACAATTTATTGGATCCAAGTGGTCCATTTGTTCTAGGATTTTTCGTGCTTCCTTTGTCTGTCGTGTTCTTGCCAGGTCAGTAGATGATTCCCATGCATAGGGGCCCAGCGAAGCCTAGAAACCAAAACACATCATAATCTGATGTGCACGGTGCCAATGGAACATGTCCAAGTCCAAACACAACAAACTTACCATAACTTCAACAGAAGCAAGTGGGTGGCACCAAGGAGCGGAGCGATGGCATGTCAGCAGATCAAGAAGTTCTTCTTCTGGAGACTCCATGGATGCAACCACTGGAATGGAATATGTTGTGTGATTTCAATCATATACGGATTGTTTAGGTGATGGGTGTTCCTCATAGTGATCGATAGTATATACTCTTTGTACGTTGGAAAGTTTGTAGTTGTTAATGATAAATTGGGCATCAAAAACCGGTATGATGTTTTTTGATGTATATAAATTTACATACATCAACAGTCCCTGTCTGAACTAAAAAACATGAGCGACCAAGCTTAGAACCACAAAAGCAACAGGAAGTATATATACATGCAACATTCTATGACACTGCGGGCCACTGATATCCGAAATCGTGGCAATCTTGTGCAATGATATCCACTCTTACCAGTTGATTTCCATTGAATTCTTTTGGGGGGAGATATGGGAAGGATTAACAGATACAACCTGAAACTATTACCCCATATACTTTCGACAAACCTCGATGCTGAGTCCCCGGCACCCTGGGCAACATTAGCAGCTAGGGCTTTCGCTGTGGGGCCAGGACCTGGCTTTCAATCCATGTGCGCAGTTGAGAAAAATCTAATTCTGGGATGAATCCTGTTCGGGAATAAATCAGAGTTGATCACAAATAAGCTCGCACTATGCTGATTTTTTTTTCCTCCACCCCTGCAGGCTCGAGCAACTGTTGTGTCCCGCATGTTTTTAAGCAAAGACCCGGCAAAAGCTTGCCCCCCACCTTGTGACAACGAATGTGATTAGAAACATTTGATAAACAAAATAGCATCTACACATCGATTTTGTTCATGAGAGTTCCGTGGATTGTATGGCAAGCTTGGCCTTTCTTAATTGGGCTACCCCATTGAGATATATATTGTAAGAGTGTGTTGAGAAACACAACTGCAAAGGGAATCCTTCATGGATCCACAGAGACATCACTGCAGGCTCAAACGATTGAACCACTCGGGCTCTAGTCTTGCTCCTGCTTGGCAATCTTCTTGAAGTGTCGCTTCGCATTCCTTGGTGGGCCGAAGCTGTATCAAATAATCACATGGCCTATGATACTATGATGATCCGAAACAGAAATCCATATATATACTTATATATAGTGTTATCCAGTTGCTACTGTATACACTTTAGATGAACTTGTTGTTCCACATAGAAGTTTTCGAACCCAACCCCTAGGCTCCTACTGTGTCACTGCAGCTCAGGAAAAACGTGGGGGCCACGGCCGGATCTTCGCTTCGTTCTGCACAGCTTTGGCGCACCTGCATTGGTGTTTCTCGGAGAATTGGTCGAACCCAAAATAACCTAGGATCTACAAGGGAAAGAATTTGTTTATCGGGTCAAATATATTTTTTTAAGGATCATTCTGCATATATATATATATAGTGATTGTGAAACGTTTGTGTGATTTTTTGGGGAAGGTCAACCTGTTGTAACAGGATTTTTGAGGTCTGCACAGAAAGGTGCTTTCCTTCATCGCCTTTTCCGATTTTGCCTTCCACCTTAGTTCAAGGTCGAACCCAAAATATATCATATAGATTCAGATTTTCAAACAAAGTTTCCCATCCGTAAATGCTATATACATTTGTTGCCCGGAGTAAAATACTTTGGTGATTCGGTTTGCTACCCAAACACCCACCAGCGTAGTCATCCCTCTCTCCCTCTGCCATCACTTCGGTCAGCTTGTTGTAAGAATCATCCAACTTACCGATGTCCATGTCCAAGGCTTTGATTGACCTGGGAAGATGGTCGCAATATGACACAATCTAATGAGGCAAGCCACCTGACTGACTGCAAACTGTATATACGGGGTATAGGTCAAGAGAGGTTAAGAAAAACAATTAAATTACTCTATGATTGTTGGATTGAGTTACTTTCTGACAACCTCGTCGGTATTGTCATAGTGCTTCGCCAAGTCAGACTGCAAAGATCGGAGCTTTGCCGTCTTTTGCAACACCGAATCACAATGCTTGGTGAAAATCTCCTTTGATCGCATCGCCTTTGCAGCGATAGATGATCTCAAAACTTTAAGCCTGTGGGAAATCAATTTCATTGTTTTTTTTCGCAACTGCAAATTTGGCACAACAGTTTGGTACTTTTGAAAAAAAATCAACTAATGACTCGAAATGCAGGGCCTCCGATGTTGCAGTCACTGCACTGCTCTGGGATGCAAGCAACCGTTGCTTGTCCTTGTTCAATCTGTCAAGCTTGACCTCGGGCATCGGCTCCTCGCTATCGTCCTGGCAGGTTGATAACATGCGGAATTGGCTGGATTGAAGATTCTTAAGACTGAGCTGATTGAAGCTTGGCCAAATTTCAAGGCTGACTGCCTACCCAAAAGATTGGAGGGTCAGAAGAACCTTAGGTGGGAATGAACCTACAATCATGGAGTTGTGGATCCAACCAGTTTAAGCTACGGAGGTCCTTTGTGATCTCCTTTCGTTCATCCTTTTTGAGTCTGTTTTGTTCCAGGGCACCAGTCTCGCGGGTGGTGACATAGTATTCCTCTTCGCCACCATATTCGCAGTTCCTTCCGGGAAAAAAATGAATATATGATAGCAGTATATACGGTGGGTTGAACTGTTTGAGTATATTATATATATATATATTGTATCCCTTTTTCTGTCCTGATCAAATGCAGTGGATCCTGCTCACAGATCTTGACAGCTCCGGCAATCTTCTTCCTCAGCAGTCAACAGAAACTGTTGGAAATACCACAGGTACCTCAACCATAAACTATTTGGCATGCCTTTTTTTTGGTGAAAAAAACATAGATGACCGTAAATGTTTTTTCATTGTTCATTGCGCCAACACTAAAAAATAATTTCATAGAACCAGATTCGCATTCCAGTGAAGGACCTTCAACATATCCTCCTTACTATACCAGCCCACCGCCACTGTGCTCTTGTGGTTTTCCTCGTTTGTCACAGTCCTTTCCCGAAGCTTGATGAATTTCTCCTATGAGGCGCATTGACGATACTGCGGAAAAGGCCTTGATATGGCTCAAATTCTTCGGGGATATGGCAATTGAGTCGCTTGGATCTATAACATGTGTGGGTGGTAAACAAAAACACATATATTGTAATATATTGTGAAACCATTTTTTGGCGATAAATACTTTGAGAGAGTCATGCAGTCCTTATCGAATCCACAGTCTCGATATTCCATGGCCATTTCTAAGTGATCCCGCTGCTTCCACTCTTTGTGGAGCCATGCTGGCACCTGAAGCTTGGGAGCCTCACCATGTTTCGCTTTGTCCTCGCACAAGCGTCTGAGCTTGGCTTTGGCTGCGTTCTTCTCCTTCACGTCCTGGGTCAAGAAGCAATAGGTGATATCACATGAATATAGAATATGACATGAACAAAAACATATCATATGAACATAGCGGGCGTTGGAATTGAACAACCAAACATGGGAGGGCTAAGAGGCCTGTTGGTAACCTATGCCGCCTATTGAATTTGAAAAAAACAATATATTCAATATGTGGCAGAAAATATAATCACATAGATCATCAGAGAATCAAGTACGACCTTGGCTTCCTTGGGAGGTGGGGATGCTGCTTCAGAATCCTTGCTGGGGCTCAGGACTTCACGCTTTCGTTTGGCGTCAAGTTCATCATCCGATAATCTGGCATCTTGGCTCAGGGATTCGGACCCACTCAAAAGATGCATGGCAGTGGCCGCATCAAGGGCGCCACACTGGAACATCTCGACGACTCGAAGCATGGCCTAGGATGCCAAACCATGCATGTATACACATGAAGTTTCAAAAAAAAACAAAAATACATCATTTAGATTTAGCCTACTCGAAGAACGATGAATGCTCGTCTAGCAGGAACAAAAACACAGTTCGGACTATATAATGTTTAATACCGGTCAGATTTACAGCTTAAAACATCAAGGTCAGAAACTCACTGAAATTTACGCCAGCACACACTGGCATTGGACCCATAAGATGATGGTAAGGATGCAGTCGATGCCACAGGCGAAGTCTGTTTTGCACTATGACTCTTTGGTCGTGCGACCGGTGATTCGGGTGCCTTATCCAGGCGTTCCCCCAAGACAGACCCAATATCTCCTGGGATGGTATCGGCGTTGGCGATGTCGATCTCAATCTCCTTCTTCTGCGGAGTAGCCTCAGAAAGTGCATTGGAACAAAATTGAGTGTAATGTTGGGAAATATATATTGTCAGTCATTTGACTTCGTGATCAAGCCCCCAGATTTCGACGCATATAATGATTGAAAACACCACATGTTAATGATAAAATTGATATATATAGTCATTGGGCATGCACGTTATTCGGACAAGCTTTTCCACTTGCAACTTAGTAGCACTCTGCCGCAAAGCCTTCAGCTTAGCGAGAGATTCAGCCTGCACGGGTAAGGTATGAAGTTGAAATGGATTCGTTAGTTCAGTGATGCTTTGAATGTTGGTTGTGTTTTTCAGATACATTGAAAATATATGTTGGTCTCGATGCCATGCCTTAAGAACAAAGTAAATATCACATGCATGCATGCATATATACATGCATGTGTTACTGTTCCACTCACCCCATCTAACACCTGGGACTGGTTCGCTTCCACATCAGAAATCATCCTCTCCAATGCCTGCCAGCACATGGCGAGACCCCTGCCCCCAGGAAATAGAGAGTATAAGGTATATATACATGAGGTCAAAAGGAAACACACCAAATGTTGTGATTGAACAGAATCTTTGGTCACAAGCAGATCGACTAGAGCATGTTTAACTTGTCAATGCTAAATCAAAATAAAAGACCAATAACATACAATCATCAAACCATATTATGATCTTGTCCCCATTTAAATATGCTACATCTTGATCAAGCAATACCCCTCTCATATAGTTCGATATTCAAGGGCCATAGTTAATCACCACCACCCAAAAAAAATGACCTGACCGAGGTATGTTGACTGTAGTTGGCTCTGGCCTCCAGCTCTGCTAAGCTTTCCGGAAGCTTGGTCGAGGAATCGCCCAGGATGGTGCTAAGACCCTCAAGCATATCACTGGTGCTCCATTGCTGGGACAACAAAGTTTCTGATGTCCCTGCCCTCATGAAAGCCATGGTTCGACTTTTGTAGATTGGGAATATGTCCACAAGCTTCCCTTCAAGCCAAATGCTAGATTGATACAACATGTTTTTTCTTTTTGTGGTCTAACTGTATCACAATTGTGACATCATTCCATCACTAAAAAGGTGCATGTATCAGTTGTGTTCCTTTTCTGCTACTTGCACATCGAAGCTACAATCTAATTAGTGGCATTCATCCACAGTATTTCTGATTTGTTCAGACTAAGCCATTCAAAAATGGGGTGAAACCAATCCAAACCCATCAGGAGCCAACATAAGTCAGTAAAAAATCATGTTAAAATCATCGCTAAAAAAGCAGGTTATTCGGAAAATACCCATAATATTTTACGGGTAAATTACGGAAAATTATGGGTATATTACGGAAAATTACGGGTGGTAAAATTACGGGTAAATTACACGAAAATAACCTGCTTTTTTTTCAGTAAAACCTGATATTTCCTCACAATAGCTGGGTTTTTTTGAATAACCTGGTAATTTCATAAAAAGCTCTTCAGAGACCTTTGGGTGGCTATTGAATCCTAAGTGGGCCGAAGACGGTTTCAAACAAACCCCACAGAATGGCAAATGATCTAAATTTTTTTGGGCAAAACATCCCGGAAAGAGTCAGGAATCCTCAAGGATGTCCCTCCTCGAAGATAACGGCAAACAGCTGGCATATCAGCCTCTGTCCAAACATCGTCCATGTCGAGACTTGTAAACGTCTCTAGAGCTGGGGGAATGGGGTCTGGCAAGCTTGGCATGCCAGACTTCTCAGAAACCAATTGGTTCCACAAATCACTCATTTTTCGCCCAAAAGCTGGTGGATAGTTCCTAAGTTCCAAGAGCTGACTGTTTGATGCCATATACCACTTTGACAATTATATTGTATAATATGAATTACAACTCTTTCAGGTCAACAATGCCCCCAACATTACAATAAGATTCAACCATAACGCAAATGGTTCGCAGAATCAAGGTTCACAAACCAAATTGACCATGGCCAACCAAGGATATAATCGCCATATGTAAAGAACTTATGGCTTATATTACAATCACTCAGATGGTGTTTCGATCAACTAGGAGCCCCACTCGCTGGAACGCAACTTCGACGTTCCTTTGTAACGTCTCTTGCCCGACTTGTCGAAGTATTTCTGGACTAGTTGAGGTGGTGCTTGGCCACGTGAAGCAAGCTCCCTTTTGCGCTTGGCCCACCCTATCAATCGCCCAAGGTTTAGGCGACCAATGTGACGGCTATTTGCCCAAGCCACATGTCGCTTTGGTGTAGGTCCACCATAGTGCAGCATATACCATGTTGTACGGTGTACCTAAGTTCATTCTTGCCATATGAAGGTTACCACTACCAACAAAGTTTTCACCTGTGGTCCCAAATAAGAGCACGTATAAAACATTCATCCATCCACCCTAAGATCCACACAGTCTTGATGGGAATTACTTTGTGGGGTCATCGTACAAACAGGTATAGCGTGTGTGATATCATGATTCTTATATATTCCGTTTTTGGCGGCAATTGGTGTATAATTGCTGAAAGAATCCACCACCAGCAACACTGGAAATTGTGGGTCCCCCTTCGAAAATCCTTGAGGACCAACAAGCTTGACCTTATCATACAATTTCCAGATGCAACCTGGCAGCTCGAGGCGGAGGGTTTAACACTATATGGGTACGGTATATACATTAGAAGGTTCAGCCTAGACACCGCACCGTTCCCACCATGACGAAGAAGCATCATCACGAAATCTCGCCATCTTGGGTAATGTTCAAAGAACGAACCAAATGGTTGTTCCAAGATTATTGTTCCATTCAAGCACACTACGATCATCATCAAGAGTATCATCCTTGGGACTGGCAGGACATTGGTCTAACACATGTCTTATGAATGGTGAATTTACTTACTTGCAGGATCGTCAAAAGAAAACAGGTTTGGCTTTGTTTAGTTGGGTGAAACTTTCCCTAAATTTAAGGGTCATTTTTGTATATACTGAAGTATATTGGACAAGAAACATAAAATGCTGTGATTATGTTTTCTTTCAGACAAGGTTCCGACTTGCCATGCAATTTGATGTCAACACACTTTGGTAATCTAAGTTGCCAATAGAACTGCATGCACTGCGACCACTTGTGCCAGAATTAATGGATGTCCATGATGCACACTTCAGACCAAAGTGGCATGCCCACCCCTTCTCATGGTCACCACGAAGTACGGTCTGAAGAGCTGTCCTTATATGTGTTTTTCGAGATGATGATGGAAACTATAATATCTTGTATTTTTTAACCTTGGGGCACCTTTGGGGGAACAGCCGCCAACATGGGCTGAACTCAAACGAGCATTATAATATAAGAAAAAAAACCCAATCCAAGATTCGCCATTCCACAAGGGGATGTTATATCCATAGGGTTGGTCCCGGGCACTCCATTTTTGTCACTCATGTAAACGATATCCAACCTTGCTGTTGTTCTGCCTCCATAATATTTCATTTGCTCAGTTGCCTGAGCCTCTCCAGCGAAAAACTCCACCCACTGAAATGGTTTCGGTGTGTCCTGGGACAAAGTCAAAGTATAGGGAATGATAAAGATATATTATAAATCTTTAAGAAACCATTGCTATATAAGGAAAACACTCCAATTGTGTGTATAACGGAAGGACATTTAAATATTATTGTTTTATTTAAACCATGATCGTCAGGAGAGAAGTCAAATTCTGTTGGACTTGCATTGACCAACACACTGCCGTCCTGAAAGCCCGGTGGCATCTGGGTCCAAAAGACCATGAGCGTTGCGAATAGCAGCACCTAAGGCAGTAACCCCTGCTTGGGTGTGAGATGCTCAAAGATCTTACAATGTAGTCCCATGAACTTGTTTTATTCTTCAGAAAAAAAACGATATATGAAATTTCGGGTATTCAGCAAAATGTTGGATAGTATGGTGCATCATCCTGATCTAGCATGAAGCATGCATGCTTCTAAGCGCAATCATGGCACCTTCGGGGCCCCCATAGCCTTTAAGCGGGCCATGAGGCTATCGACGAACTTGGGCGACCACATGGTGCTAAATCCCACAACGAGGGCTGAAGTCAGTGCCACCCCAACCCCAGAAGAAAACATAACAATCAAGCTCGCTAAAGCTGTAATCCCTATGGTGGATATTTTAACTGGAATCATGCTTTAACTTTATACCCTTGAAAATATGTTCTTTCCAAAATTGATTGCTGTTGATGCTGTCCAGTTTTTTTGTTCCCTGAAAAATGCAGAAGTCATGCATCAGCTGATGCCACAATGACACTACATCCCCACCCGTTCGCATGGCACCTTTTGTACCATCAAGTCATTTGACAGTTTGACAAAAACATGCACATGTAGCATCATTTTTGGTAATCTGAATTTGCTCAAATGACAATGCTCCCATTGAAGTCTAAACATGCCAAGAACACCTTTGAAATTTTCAAGGCCCCGTTTGATGGCCCATTTGTTCTTGACCTTGCCAGCCTGAAAATGCCGAGGCATTGACCTGGGCAATCGCGAAGTTGATATATCTTGGACTTTCTGAATCTTTGGATGGAAAGTGACTTGGGAGGAAACATGTTAAGGATTTAATTCACAGGGAACACCAACCCCAACTAGAAACAACAGATAAATTTTATCCCAATCGGAATTAATATGGGTGTGTTTAACCATGAGCAAATAGTTCATTGAACCGCACCAATATAGATTGGACATGTTCAGGATATTGGGGTATAAAGTATTTAGATCGATAGATGTAAACAGATCCTGGGGAGATTGTACGGGTTTGGGGACACTAAGTTGTTGCAACAAACGAGCAGCAAGCAGACCCTCGGAAGTTTGGTATGTATGATGAAGGATTGGCACCTTATATTTAATTCCAGTGTTGCTCCTACTTTTTTTTCTGATTTCAATTCGAAACATCAATGCGACACACAGGTTGCATATGGTGCCATTTTTTTTTTCTTCATCAGCCCGGCTGCGCTCACATGCATGAGGCTATCCCCATGCGCTTCATCCCAAACACTAAGTAGTCTTGTCACTTTAAGACCGTTCAAAGATTGATGGGAAGTATACCCACTAATATTCCCATGGGAAAACCTGACACCTTCGCTACCTAGGCATGACGTGTCATGGGCATGGGCAGAAATCACCAAGGCTCCAAGCCACACATAGTCAGCACTATATAGAAGAACTAGCAACGCAGATGGTCTTACACTATACCCAACAAAATATATAACAGGTAACCTCTACTAATCAAGTCTCGGATATGACCAGTTGGATGATCAGTGGTAACTTTATGATTTTCATTGTTTTCTTTTATCACAGGCCCACGCATCACGACAGCCCAGGTAAATGGCCAACAGCGATTGGATTTTAAAGCGAAGCTGGTCCGCACACATGACTTGGACCTTCCCCGGAATGAACTGAAACAAATGAGCATGCATAGCAAACTCATATTCTCAAATGAATATACAGAAATACACAGAAACTGAAATTAACATATATGAAACAATATTATGCTATATACATATATGTTTTAGTTTACATTGATTTGCATTACATTTGGTCCCACAAGCACGTGTGAATTGGACAGTGCTTATAGATTGTGCGGGTCTATGCTCCAGCTGCTGGCATGGTCTTTGCCAGCTCATCCAAAGCTGCCATGCCATTGAACTTGATACGTCCAAACTCATTTCCAAAAAGCGAAGTCGGACTCTTGTCCGTCATATCGACATCAGCATCCTGCGTATCCACCCATTCAGCCTCGGCCGTGGTGAGCAGGTATAATTTGTTTTGCATGTTTCATAAACACGTTCCTAGAAAATGGAAACCAAAAAAAGGAAGTTGTATAAACAATACGACATCTATATAATGCTATACAATAAAAAAACATACCACATAGATTCGCAATAGGGTGAAAAATAGGTTTTCATACGGTCACCTGAAGAATTTATACATCACACGCTGCTTGCGCAATGCATATGTGACTGACAAATCATTGGTTGAAACATGTTCACCGTAAGTTGATTGCTATAATTCAACATGTTTTCAATTACATGGTAGCAACCACTTATCCAACCCTTACCTGCAATTCAGTAAAGAAACCAACAGACCAGCCGAGACATAGGCAACACACATCAAATGATTGTACGATGCGATCTTCGGGTGCTTGTATGCAAAGTATGCAATCTGTGGCTCTGCTGGGTCACCCTTGAACTTGACACCACAAGCCTTTCGACCCCAATAGACCGACAGGGAGCACCGCTTGTACCCTGAGAGGCCCCCATTGGTGGTCAAGTGGGTCTGTAAGTCCTGGTAGGTAAGGCAATCCACAGGCTTCATGTGTTCGACGAACAGGCCTTGCATGATCTTATCCTCCAAGGTCTCCTCGGTCAGGATGAGGGGGGCTCGGCGTTGGCGGCGTTTTTTCTCCTTCTTCACGGCTGGTGACTGCAAGATTGAGGCCTTGACTTTGGGGGACTTGACAACTTTTTTGCCATTCCCACGACCCCGCCCCTTGCCCTTGCCCTTGCCCTTTGCCTCACTGCCTGCACTTGGCGCGGACTCTTCTAGGACCTCTGACTGAGCAACTGGCTCAGCAGCCTTGCCCTTGCGAGCTTTGCGGACAGGTTTGGGGAGCATTTCGTTTTCAAGTCTTTTCAGGTGCTCTTGCCTGTCAGGCTGGGGACTGCACTCTTGCTCATCGCCTGACTGATCAAAAAGCTTTCTCTTGGGGGTTGTAACCTCATCGATCTCATCCACGGGTGTCTTGACTTCTTCCATGTCGCTCTGCTCTCCCTCGCCTACCTTTGTCTCGTCTACCTCTGCTTCATCATCATTACCATTCTTCTCTGTCTTGCCTTTCTTGGAACGGGCCTTTGCCTTCGCCTTGGCCTTTGTCTTGGTCTTTACCTCAACCTTTGCCTCAGCATCGCTACCTGCCTTGCTTGCCTTCTCTGCTTTGACCTTTGCTTTTGGCTTTGCAGCCGCCTTTCCCCTTCCTCTTCCCCTTCCCCTGCCTTTTCCCTTACCCTGGTTCTGCTCTGACCCTTCCACCTGCTCTTCCCCTTCCTCACCTTCTGGCTCTCCATCCTTTGCCTTGCTTTTCAACTCAAGTTGCTCCCGGCGAGTCAACACCTTCAGGGGCAAGGCCAAGCAAATATCATGGTTTTGCAAGAAGTTATATTTTGCAAGAAGTTATAACTATATATATATGTTAGGAAACAACAAATTTACTAGATGAAACCTTTGTGGAAATATCAGTTTGAAATATCAATGTAAATTTAAACTAAAAAACATGTCCTATATATACAATGTTTCCAAACCCGGAATGTAAAAACAAGTGCCTGGGGAGGATCTTCTTTGTGAGGGCTATCCGGCTGCGTCAGAAAGTCAAGGGTGTCTGTTGGGGCATCTTGGGAATCTTGTTCGGGCGGCTCCAAGTCCATGATTGATCCCTCTACCAGCGGCTGGGTGTCGTGAGTGTCAGCAACAGACCCAGTCCTCGTGGCTGTGGGCTTTGCACCTGGAGGGGGCACCGCGGATGATGTGGACACTTGTTAGAAAATATATGTGAACACTCTATAAGCAAAAACATGTAAATTGTATTGCTGCAAATGATGCAAATCAAGTCTTGCACCTACATGCGTGTATATGTTGAAACAAAATCTCAAAAATGCAAACAACCCCAACATACCCCAACACAACCCCAACACAACAAGTCATTTGCCACATTATAATTATAGCGACATATATTTCAACTGCAAACGTTTGTGCAGGCTTTGCTTTCCACTTGTAGCGTACTTCAACGGGCCCAGCCTTGGCCCAGATCAAACTGTGGTTGCTGCGCATCCCCATATCGCCTGAGATTGGTTCATGCCCATGAGAGTGATCTCGTTGGGTCGGATTATGTGGACTGGGGAAAGGTTGACCTAAGGTTGACCCCCAAAAAAAACGCAGTACAAGTGATAATCAGATATCGGGAACATTAGTTGACTATTAAAGGACAATGTTTCTGGTCATGTAGTCATTTTTCCATATATAGCCAATGTTGAATGCATGGCATGGATCGATATCAAAAAATACATAGAGATCAACTACAAAGATAACCCAATATTTACGAATCTGATATGTTGTTAATATCTGATCAAAGCATTCAATATAAGGTATATATCTCTCACCTGGGGTCGCCTGCAAACCCCATCTCAGGAAACTACTGGATCTTCTTCTTCTTCTCCGCGATGAGAAACTTCAGCTGGCTGAGTCGCTTGCAGATGCCTGGGCTGGATCGGGCTAGGTTAGCAACAATAGCACTTGGAGAATCCCAAAACATTATATAATGTAGTTAGGCAGAAATTGTAGATTGTTTTCCATCATTGATTGAATCAAAACACGTGTTCAAAGTATATATATAATTGACCTAGATACACTCCTGTTGCTTGCACATCCCACAATGCTTGATGGTCCCCTCGGAATCCTTGTTCTCAGAAGGCTTCGCTCCCGAAGTCTGTGGGGCTGATTGTTCTGCATCCATCTCATTCAACCAACGCTTGTAAGCATCCATATCTTGAAGGATTTCAGGATCATCTGGTTCCGATTCATTGTCCACAAAGGAGAATTGTTTGGATAGGGACTTTGCTGAGACCGTAGACATGTATGCATCGATGGCATCCTAGAAAGGGAGGATGAAGGATGACAACATATATAATGACAAAACTCCTACAAGATCTTTGTTGGTTCAAATTTCATGGGACTTAACTTATGTATGTTGATTAGATGTTAATTTCAGATATTTTAACCCAGAAACAATTATTTCCATTGTATACTAATTCCCACATAAGACACAATTTCATACTGATTTTGCACATCAGTCCAGTCCTTTGCAGATGGGTCAAGTGCCAAGATGAGCTCATGAAATTTGACGTCCTGGCACGATTCAGCAGCCGTGCATGGCCCACTGGGGGTTATATCCAAAAAGAAAAAGGGAATAGATATTTTTAGTTATAATGTATATATCTTGATGTTGTGATCAATTAAGATGTTTTTGGTTTTAAGGGTTCGAATCTACCCGTTGGGATTAGTAAAGATACATGGATCATGTCACCATCATATATAATCCCCAGAAGGGCTGAGAAGCATCATGCTGAGCTATTTGTTTCACCCATCGGATGTGATTTTTTTTGACCATATATACCAAAACAAACAATCAGTCCTTCGTGCATTCCATACGTCGAGTTCGTCTCTTGATGAAAGAAGTCATCTTCTTCATTTCAATTGCTGATGTGTAAATGTCGGCTTCTTTGATCTTGAGACCCAACCGATTGTGACAAACAGCAACCTGAGCTTTCAAAGCCTCTAGGCATGGCAACTTCCAATCATCACATTCACGCATCCGGTGGAGGATGGGGATGAGCACATGGATGTTGTTGACACAATTTGGTCTAGTCGCCTCACACCACTTGTGACCATCTGGTCGGATGCACAGCGTGGTCGATTCACGCATACGTTCTCTAATTTCCCCATTGCGTTCCCACTCTTCTCCCAAACCCTGGACATCCGCCATTAGGCCAAGCAAAGCCTAGACTAGGGTATAGCCTGGACACCCTGAAACTTCACCACTATGAGTTTTCAAATGCCTGCGGTAGAGCGGTCAGCAAAGTGCAATCTTTGATATATACAAAACTTGCCCCATACCATTGCATGGATAAAACAAATAGATCTCGAGATCAAAACATGTAAGTAGGTGAAACATACATAGATACCAAATGATTCCAAATGCTCATCCCCGGAATCAAGTTATAGATATAGATCGAATAGATCTATCATGCTGCCAGATGAACTCTGACGCCGGCAAAATGGGATCCCGGACTGATGGATCAAAGTCCAGGAGGTGGTTGGTGAAGCCGATCATAGCATTGCAGGCCGTGGCGCTTAAGAGGGATAACATTGTTGGGCACTATCAACAGCCCCAAGTTCTCCAATTTGACATTAATTCATATATTGATGCAACCCCTTCATATAATTTTCAACAATAACATGTGAACACATGGCGAAATGATGTGA